TTTTCTTAAATAATCTACTTGTTATCTTACTTCGGAATTGCATTATTCTTATAATTCACTTTTAATCCACTGTATTGCATCAAGTACTACATAGCACTGTACTCCTTATATCTGAATTGGGCTTGCCCGTGTATATATAAATAAATAAGTTTCTAATATTTCAATGGCTAATATATTTTCAAACCATTATGAGTTAGATTTTAATTTTTCACTCAATATCTCAATAGTTTCATACACGTAATATCTTATCAATATGTAAAACAAAAAGTCCCCATAAGTTTTCTTTTTATGATGTATCCAGAGTGATCGTTTCAGTCCCTGTACCCATAAAGGTCTCGTGCCGTTGGTCCTTACCCTGCTATAATATTTCTGGGAAGAGATTTTAGTTACTAAAGTGCTTTTCGTGCCAACGATAATTGAATAGTACTAATCTTGAAGCACCCTGGTTGAGGATGTGATTAAGTGTGAGCCCCAGCGCAACATAAAGAAAAGCTACATAATCAATATAAATTTTATATTCGGAAATCTGTTGTCGAGATATAAAACAAAATCATCTACTTTTGTCGAGAATGCAAATTCACCATCCACATATCCTAACCAAGTATGTGGAAAGTAATCTAATTTTCATCTTGCTTCCATTTGAAATCTGCTCATGAACAGTTTAGCCGTGAAGGGCTGTTCATGCAAATTTGTGTAAGCCGGATATACCTTATACACGTAGCCCATTAATCTTCAAGAGATCCCAAAGATACGTCAAAAGATGTAAGGTTGCAAGATGGTGAAATTTCAGTTCCTTTTAGAAGTTCTGTTATTTCAAAGTATCTCGTTTCAAGAAACGTGTTTCACATATTCGATTTCGTAGACCAGAAAAATCTAGTGTACCTCAACAGCTACCGGATAAATGAGAAATGTTCAAACTTGTTAAGACTGGTTACATGACAAGAGGTAAGTTCAAAACGAGTAAAATGTGGAATGAGATCCTATTACATGTAGACACCAGAAAAAATGTAGGTATCCATAAAGTAGTGAATAACATATAAATTAGTAATTGAGACAATAGCTAATGACCCGCATTTGTAGGAAGACTACACTATTTATTAAAATGAATCATTCTAGCGGTATTGCTATATCAAGCTCTAGACTTCTAGACCCGGAGTTGGCAAGTAGTTTTAGGTCGGGTCCGGTACTGTGGGAAAATTTTGACGAGGTCCAGAAAAAACACTGATAAAAATTGAGTGCTACCAAGACCTAAAATTAATGTGAAAAATTACACAGACCGTCTTGAGCCACTTTTTTATAGTTTGGTTCTCGAGAGTAACAGCAAATTCAAAGTGTGTAGGTGGGCATTCGTTATTTTGTTTTTCAAAAAAATTTATCTTTGAGAAATATGTTTCACATATGTAGCCAAACATAGTGGCCAAATTTATAGCTAGTTTTAGCGATTTTTATATGACGTGTTTGTCCCAAAATTTTTTAGTGGATACCGTGTTATACATTTGCAAAGACACATCTTCAATTTTAAGTGACGCCTTTGACAGATTAAACCACTTGGCAGCTACATTTGTCCATTCTGCTGCTACATCAACTTCAAATGGCGATTTGAGAAACGGATAGCTTGCCCATCTCTGCAAAGTCTTGAAATCTTACAGCAAAGTCGTTCCTAAGATCGGCCAGAAATTTTTTGAACAGTACCAATGTCTTCTTCAGAGTTATTTTTATATTCAAGAATTGTCGAAAAATGAATAAATTCTTGTCTTGCAATAAAGAGATAAAGCTTGCCACAAAAAGCAAACACGCTTTGTATCAAATCACATAATAATTTTTCATTTCCTTGTAATTCTGTGTTGAGCGCATTTAAATATTTCAAAATATATTTTAGAAAAGCCACGACCAACATATTACACTTGTTTGTTATGAACTCGAAGTGCTTTCTGGCTCCCTCCATATCTAAATTTTGCAAAAAGGAGATTACTTCTTTTATCAGCCCCAGAAACGTTCAATAACTTGACATTTACTTAACCAACGAACATTGTTGTGTTGCAGTAAGTCAGAATACGCTGAATCACATTCAGAAAGGAACTCCTTGAAATAGTTGTGCTGAAGAGCAGAATGAGATCTCATAAAATTAATCAACTTGACCAAGCTGTCCATCACTTCTTTCAGTATAGCACTAAGTTTTCCACAAAGGGCTGTCTGGTGACTTGTGCATTGATATGATATTAGATCAGAGTTTGTATCCCTGATTCTCTTCACTACACCTTTTTCTTTGCCAATCATTGCTGGGGCCCCGTCAGTTGAAAGCGACACCATTTCATCATAACTAATGTTAGATTTAGTAATAAATTAATCAATGACCTTCTCCTCTAGTGTTACCTTTCAACGGTGATATTGCTAGCAACTTTCCTAAAAATGTGACACTCAATATCAAGAAATCTTACGAAAATAGATATTTGTTCATCATCAAAGATGCGCTATGGCGTAGCAAGGTGCCTTTCGCAGGAGTTCAAGAAGTTCCGTGACTACTTCCAACGTACATTCCTTCACCATCTCAGAATCTGAAAATGGCTTCTGGTGTTTATTGAGCGTCCAGCACACAAGTAACGCTGTTTCTGTGAATTTTCTTGCTCGCTCATGCAATGAACTAGTGATTTCGTGCTTTTTTTTGTAAGAACTGAGATATGCATGAAGTTTTTCTATACGAGTCTCACTGCCAAGAGGAAAGTTTTTGTGAAATTGCTGACGAGTTTTTTCGTAGTGTTGCTTCAAATTGCCACTCTTAACAATAGCAACAGTTTTATTGCATATAAGGCACACTGGAACCGTTTGAGGCCTATCAAGCAGCGTAAAACAATATTTTTCAGTCTATTCTGTCAGAAACCTCCTATTTTCACTTTTCGCTTTTTAGGATCCATATTAGCATAGGTACGAACATATTATGAAAACGCGAAAAATCACAAAACAAATGAATGGTTACTCCGCTGTTTGTGCTGCGACTGACAGTTTGCTTGGGTCGCAAGCGGGTACAAACTCACATACACACACACAGGGTAGACAGGGAACTAATAAAACCATTTCAGTTGTAGGTACTTGTAAAACAGGTTGACTAGGCAACTCAACATAGAATAAGTACATACTAAGTTGAATTTGATGTGACTTAAAAATATTACTTTAATTATTAAAGGTATGGTATACCTCATCTACATATTAATTTATACTTGGTATATAACACATTACAATATTTGGCGGTCCGAGGTTCGACCTTTCGTGGTCCACCGTTGTTCTAGACCTTTCCAATTTAAAAAATTAATTTCTAAAAGATTGTACTGTTCCAAATATATCAATGACTGAGTGATATCTATTCACAAGTCTTGATATTCTGTTAATCCGACCGTGAAATATATAATTACTGAAAAGGTAATTCATTTCACAGAATTAACCCGAACTCTCTCAAAACTCCAGGACAATTGATGTTACCCGAACAAAGTTTTGAAGTATCAGTTCTGACAAAGATGCCACTTCCAACGAAGTTGACACATTTGATAAACTGGCACTCATGATGAGTCGGCAAGAAATTACAATATTCTCTAGCTAGATATTTGATATATCAAGAAAGTTGAACAGGAACCGACTTTTAATCACAATAGTATTGACCTGTATTCCGAAATCATTAAGACATAATCATCAATGAGACAGTGAACATTAAATTCTTGTATATTTGATGAAAAATATAAATCTTTTAAAAACTACCATTGATCTTATCAATACTCTGGAATTTTTGGAGATCTTTACATACCAAGAATGCGAAGGAAAAAAATTACAAAATTTTATTTATGTTTTTGTATAAAACTGTGCCAAAGACATGCAAATCTTCTATTTTCTGCTCTCCCCTATTTGATTATGTTGCTGGCTTTTTGACGTCAAGCAATGAAATATTGCAAGTTTCTCAATTATCTCTAGATGTCATTAGTTTCGACAACTAAATTGTTCGTGTCTGTCCCATTGAATTATGTCTCATATACCAATTGTTTAAGGAGAATTAATAGTGCAGCTAATTGATAAGTTTTTTATTTTGCTCTGAGTTTCTAGAAACATAACCATAACATTTCATTCATTTCAATTTGGTGATATGGTTATTCAAGTAGTGACTATTTGATTATATGAATTTCTCCTCGATATTATTACCATAAAATGTAGTTTTTTTATATAGACAAGCGTACTTTCCTTAAATGAATTACGTGAAGAAATATGCATATTTTGTCACTGAATTTGAAGTTCAACAACTGATCACTGGTGATGAATGTTGCTAGACAATTCCATATAGCTCATTTACTAGTATAAAAACAGCTTCTTTTTATTTCAATAAGATATTTCTCCCATAAATTCAAACCAATCATCTCGGTTAGAGTATTGTGCAAAGTGCAAAATAATAATTCCTGTCATGTTAAATATTAGATTAATTTCTTATACTGACATAAAATGAAGTTATCATTTTTCATTGGTTCAGTTTTTCCTGCGTTAGATAATTGAAAGGGTGTTTTTTTAGAAGAGATTAATTTCTTGGAAAGAACGGTTTATACAAAAAAATATGGGAATTTTCCAAAAAAAAAAGGAAGAAAACAATTATTTCCACATGAACTCTTTAAAAAGATGTGGAAGATTTCCACATTTTTTTGTATGAAGATGGAGAAGTAGAAAGCTAAAACCTTTTTTTCCCCAAAAGTCAAAATATGGTTATGAAAAGTAAGGCATTTCGACATCCAAAATAGTTGTGAAAAGTACCGTACCTCTTTATATGTTACAATTTGAAAAAATGGAATATGTGAGATGTGATTTAAACCCATAATTTGAATGTTAAGTTTNAAATTTTTACTTCGAACTTATTGATTATATTAGAATGTTACATATTATTCATCAAAAAGATCACACAATCTTGTAACATAGTTATAAATTGATCTATTGTAGTGAAAAAGTTGTATTCTGAAATGAAAATAGATTTTTTTTTCAGGTGAACGTTTGGAGGACTGGTTGAAAGATGTTGATGCTAGGGCCAATGCTGGCATCAAGTTCGGCAAATCTAGAGGTTTCATCAAAACGGGAGATCCCGTCGTTGTAGTAACAGGGTGGAAACAAGGTTCTGGTTTCACCAACACCATGAGAATTGTGTATGTATCTGATCAAGTCCAACCTATCTGTCTTGGTGTTTGCAGTGAAAAATAATTGAGTAGATTCTGCTAACTCATTAACATTACTAATATGAATTTTTGTAATATATATTCAATATAATCTACGTTAACATGTGCTTTCTGTCCTGTCTGCATGAATATTCCTGTTATCAAGCTGTTAATAGGAACTTCAGATTGGGATTCAGGATTGTTTTATAACTGATGAACTTTTTTCAGTTTGGATATCAACAGATTTCATTAACACTCATACATTGAATAGAACTTATATTAACTATGTATGTAAAAAATATATATAGGATATAAGTAACTGTTCTAATTTTGAACTTATCAATGTATTCAAAAATTTTTGATTATTGTTCCCATCAGGAATAAAAAAATAGGCGAGGAACAACATCAGGCTAAGTATAGTTCTTTGGGGACCCCTGAAAATATTTTCTCCACATCTCCTCAATGATTCTTTTTCTAATGAACCTGTAATTTTCGAAATCATTTGTCATTCATGAAAAAATATTAGGCAATCAACAATCAAATTATTAGGAAAATTTTTCTTGATGATACCAGAGCCTTTGTTTAGCTTTGATATTTGTGGTTAGAGTTTTCTATTGATTTCATAGATTGCTTCTTCGCAAGGAGAGTCGTTATTGAAATTCTTGTTGTGTTGATTACTTTAAAGCTGAATAATGGTTGCAACCCTGAATTATTTTCTGAGGTATTTCTGCTGCTTGGTTAACATTCTAGCCGGTTTTCTAACGTCATGTAAACTGGTTCTAGGAATTTACCTGCTAAAAAAGGTTGATAATATCAATCTTCTTCTTATTTATTGAATATTCATTAGTGATTGATTTTGTTTCCTTTTTTTTATTGATAATATTGCGGAATCTTAGGAGTTATTTAGATATATTCAATGAAAATTGTAGTACCAGTGACAATGACATGTATATATTTATTAATTACCAAGTGATATTTTTCATTTTACTTTGATGTAATGTTCTCGAGGATGAATCTGATATTATTTTTCTGGTGTTGACGAGTTTCAGTTGACTTTAATAAAAACAATGATTCAGTGCAAAAAAGCAGTCATTAAAGAACTAGATTGAATTTTACCAGTATCGCTTGGTTATGGTATATCCCAGCTGGCTTTTGGGTTATTTGTGTCATGTGATGTTACTTTGTAATTAATGGTATTAAAACTTTTTTACAGCGTCGTACAATAAGTTCACATTCAACTTTAGCCAACAATACAGTAGCTTGTGTATTATTTATGAAATCCTGCGATAAACATCCCATATAATTTATTCATGAATTGAATTTATTTTGTGAAAATTAGGTATTATGAATATATTTAATATACTTTGAAAATTGTATTGTATTATTGAAATTACACACATATGAAAAAAAATTACAGTATTGTACATTGATTTCACAATCAACTTTGAACAACAATATAGTAGTTTGTTTTATTTATCAAATCCAGTGATAAACGTCCTTTGATTTAATTTATTTATATATTGAGCTCGTTTTATGAAAAGGAGGTATAATAAATATATTTAATATACTTTGAAAGCTGTATTGAAATATATTATCAAAAATAAACAAAAGCAATGTAATAATTGTTTCCAGAAGATAATACAACTTTTCAATAAGTATTTTTCGTAAATGTTCATCTGTTTACAAAGTGTTACGTATTTAAAAACCATAAAACTCAAACATACTGTTATTGGATTTAAAATAATCCTACAATATTCGATACTGGAAGTAGTAAGCAATAAGGTACACAACTTTTTGTAAAATTTACCAAATAGTTTTATCTTGATCATGTTTACAATCTCAAACAATTTGATATAACTCGCTGTTTTTCACGTTGGATCTTGAATAAACCAATAATAACAAAACATATAATTTAAAATAACTTTTTTTTCTTGGGAAAAAGAATGCGTTTCACATGTATGAAAACCTGTATGTGAATAATACTTTTTTAACAATCTCTGATGTGCAACAACCAATATTTTGAATAAAACTTGAAGCTTCAAATGTTCCCATCTGCCATAGGATGGGAAGTGGATCTATGAGAATATTAAGAGAAATGAACACTGTCTTTTGAGAGGAAACCCAAGCAAAATAAAGCTGTGTAAAATGAATCTTCATTGAATAAGAAACGGAGACCTTATTAGCTACAGGAAATGTAACAGAGACAGCTTGTCACATTTATGTAAATGGATCACAGTAGGCATACAATTTATAGATAATCCAGAAGAATATGACAAAACATCCAACAAGGACTTGTTCAAAATAGTAGATGAAACCAGATTGTTGCAATGGGTGTCATGAAAAATATGTAAAAAAGGCCCATGAGGCTGAAAATTTTTCCAGAGGCTTGGAAGAAATAGACAAATCAGATGGCTATCCAATAGTAGAAAAAAAATTGAAATGGATAATAATGGATGATATTGAAAATCCCAAGAATTGGCCAGGGTCGTATTCAAAACCAACATCTTGTTGATCGCAAATGCTATATCATACTTAGGAAAACTTTTTTATATTTTTGACCTTGAAAAATAAGATTAGTTGGCCCTGGAAATTGAGATTTATTCATGATATTTGGTGTCCTAATAGACTTTTTGAATATCTACCTAACAAAAAAAATCATTCCAATCGGTTAAAAAAGGTAAGTTTTTTAAGGGTGCTTCCATCTTAAATGGGTCACACTGTATAATGTAATTGAGTGCAACAGATCCTAATTGAACTCCTGAAAATTTCATTACCTCTACATTTTTCTCTAGTGATCCTAAAATGATATTACTTATTTTTCAATTTTACTTTGTTAAAGGGCGGTTCAGCAGAAGTTGAACTGAAGAAGGGAGACAGAATTAAGTTGACAACAGACAAAGCTTATGAATCTAAAGGCACCAAGGATTGTGTTTATATCGACTACGATAATATTCAAAAAGTTGTGAAACCCGGTAATCGCATCTATATTGATGATGGATTGATGTCTCTTGTTGTTGAAAACATCCAAGGATCTTTCTTAACCTGTATCATAGAAAATGGTGGTTTTCTTGGAAGCCGTAAAGGTTTGACAAACATTTAATCAAAACTTAGTTTAAACCAGCGTACAAAACTTATGTTTCATGATATGTTTATACTATGAAGTGAAATTTCTATATTGTTTTTAGATGAGTTGAAACAAGTTTCATGTTTTTGATGCAAAAAATCCTTAAAGTCATGAATAGTTTTAATAACAAAATATTTTTCATTATAAGAGTTATAAAACTGTAATCATAGGTATGAAAAGTCAAGTTTCATGATTAAAATTGTTTTTGCTTTAGGAAAACATCAGTTATGCAATGAACTGAGTAATATATAGTAATTACAATATTTTAAAAACTAATGTGGGTAAACAACGAGAAAACTAAGAGAAATTGAAATACGTTTTGAACTCTTGAGAAAAAGATAAATATTTTGAATGAAATCTGAAAGATTCATCTTACCTAACATCCCTACACAGTAGTATCTGGCAAATGCCTTATGGAAAACAAGTACTTTTCTGGCTAATACGATATATATTGCATTATATCTGATAGACATTTGTTTCACTATGGTGAAGTTATAACAGTTCAATTTTGTGAATAAAGCCTCAAACAGAGAATTTTGTGCATATAAAATTTAAAAGAAATCAAAAGTAGTTTGATAACTATGTCGACGTATGTTATACGAAAATAATTATTTCAAATGAAAAAATCATCAAGAATAATAATAATCAGTTATTTTTATGATATTGAAAAACTTAAATCAGTCTAAGATCATGTTCTGTGATGTAATAAAGGAATGTGATAACCCAGGATATTTTTAGATAAACATAAGTAACATAATAAAGAACAAAAATGACATGTTAAGTATCTTTCCAGTATTTTTATAAATTTGAACCCTGGAACATGGATTTTTGAAATTTTTTGAACACTTGCAATCTACAATTCATATTATAAGTGATTTTTTAGTGAAATATGAGAATATGAGGTATTATGTTTGATTGAAAATCACCACGATGTAAAATACCTATCTTCAGATGAATTTAAAACTCATAGTAAAGATTTTCCATCTCTATTATCAAATTGGTTCATATATCGAGATTGGAATCATATGTAAAGAGAAAACCTTTTGTTCTCTCAGTTCATGAAAAACTTCTGAGGTAAGGTAAAAAAAAACTTTTATTTGAATGTTCCAATTGTCCTCATAGTTATGAGTGTTAAGATACTCCACATCTTTTCAATTGGTTTGGTTTTGAAAATCATATTGATAATGAATTTCTTGAATTTATATTCTGAACTTGAACAATCTATTAATATTATGGTATATTTTGTATAACATCATCACTGAAATATATATTTTACTTTTTCAAGACAGATATCATTTTAAATCCAATACTAAATAACAATTTTCAAAAAAATCTAGGATGTAATCTCCCCGGAGTTCCAGTGGATTTGCCTGCTGTTTCTGAAAAAGACAAGTCTGATCTCAAGTTTGGAGTTGAACAAAAGGTTGATATCATTTTCGCTTCCTTTATTCGTAATGGTGCAGCTTTGTCAGAAATTAGAGGTATTCTTGGAGAAGAGGGGAAGAAGATTCAAATCATTTCTAAAATTGAAAACCATCAAGGTAAATATGTAAATTTCGTTACAATAATGAATTTGTTCATTTTCTAAATAGAGCATGTTTTTATTTTGAAAATGTTTAGCTCGTCGATTTTGCTACATTTCATGATGGATAGTACACCTGCTCTTGTACTTGAAGCTGATTAAAATTATCAATTGAAAACACTTTTCTCGCACAACTGAACAAATTGAAATTGACAAATTCGCAAATACTTATAAATACAGAAAACTAAATGATCCAGCAAGTTGGCATTTTGAAATAATTTTAAACCATATCATTCTCGTGAAACTCACAGGAATGCTGGAATAAAAGTCATATGAAAACCGAAAATTATTTATTTAGTATACTTTTAGAAAACTAAGTTGACAGCATCATTTGAATAATGCTATAATTATCTCCTGAGTATGAACTTGAATGGCCTTGTGTACCTGAAAAAACTAAAAACTGAAACTACCTAATAGTTTCTGTAAGCTCCCTATTAGGTCTTTCTGAAATTTTCTTGAAGTTTTTCTTTGATCCTTTGCTGTATCTCTTCAATCGTTTTGAAAACTGAATACTCAAATAACTTAATCCGCTTTTCTGCATCAGTTTTTCTAGTCTCATGTTGGTTCGCATTGACTTTCTGTCCTTTGTTAGGATCTCATGGAAAAACTAGAACATTTTGTTTGATTCCTACAATTGGTATTCCTCAAATTTACTAGAAGTTCATAAAAACTTCACTTTACTTATCCTCTAGACCCGATTGCTATAAGGTTTTCCACATTTCGAGTTGACCAATTTCCAGTTCAACACTTGAAAATTTTATGTCACTTCCCAATTTGAACAATATCTCCAAAACTTTTTCAGAATGTTCCATTTATTCATTTCATCACTCGAATATTTCCATTGATGTGTCACGTGTCTTTTAGAGTGTTTAAGAAATGATTCCATGAAGGTAAAGATGGGTATACGAGATAGGTCAGAGAAAACCAATTCATAATAAGATGTGACTTCCAGATTACGTAAAACTATGTTGCATTATCGGAGATTCCTATTTTCATACTTTTATCTATACTTATAAATGCAAAGGCACCGATCTTAGAGCGCCTTACATATTTTTCTGTAGTGCTTGTGTTTTGTCCTTGAAAAAAAAGTCACTCACTTAACACCCATTAATCTCTCTTTCTCCGTACTGGTAAGTCCTAGGAAGCTAAAATTTGGTATATAGGTGCTTCTTAGATCGTAGATGCACACTAAGAAAGGATTTTCAAATATTCCAACTGGGGCGCACCCCGTGGGGGTAAAAGGGAAGCGTTTACATATGTAAAATTTTATGTCACTTCCCAATTTGAACAATATCTCCAAAACTTTTTTAGAATGTTTCATTTATTCATTTCATCATTCGAATATTTCCATCGACGTGTCACGTGTCTTTTAGAGTGTTTGAGAAATGATTCCATGAAGGTAAAGATGGGTATACAAGATAGGTCAGAGAAAACCAATTCATAATAAGATGTTACTTCCAGATTACGTAAAACTATGTTGCATCATCGGAGATTCCTATTTTCATACTTTTATCTATTCTTATAAATGCAAAGGCACCGCTCTTAGAGCGCCTTACATATTTTTCTGTAGTGCTTGTGTTTTGTCCTTGAAAAAAAGTCACTCACTTAACACCCATTCATCTCTGTTTCTCCGTACTGGTAAGTTCCATTTGTTGTTATACAAGTCGAATAGGCTTTTACATTTTAAAACATTTTGTTAAATATATTAACTAAATAAATATTACTGGAGTTTTTTCCCAACACCAAATGGTTATTTTTAACACCTCGACACGTGTTTCGATCACCAAGTGATCATCTTCAATGAGGAAGATTAAAACATGTTTTAATCTGTATTCATTACTACACCAAAGGTTCCAAACAGTGCATCATAAGTAAATATATTATCTGGTATATGATATTCCTCTTAGATTCTCTATAATTTTTGTATATCTTGTTACTACTAACTCCTTCTGCTACATCAAGACCAGCAAAGTTATTCATAGAGCTTGTTCATAACATGCCTATTATTATATTTATCACTTATGAATGTGCACATATACAAGAAAACACAATCTTTTTCCAAAATATTTGTGAAGGTCTAGCAAATGAAAAAACTATATTAATAGAAACTGTCGGTCTAAAAATTATATTAGATTCCTTCCTATTTTTGATATTCAGTATTATTTTCAAGGTATGACAAATTTGGACGAAATTATCGAGGCCTCCGATGGTATTATGGCTGCGAGAGGTGATTTAGGAATTGAAATCCCTACCGAAAAAGTTTTTCTGGCCCAGAAAGCCATGATTGCTAGATGTAATAAGGCAGGAAAACCAGTCATTTGTGCCACTCAAATGTTAGAATCTATGGTAAAAAAACCAAGACCAACCAGAGCCGAAAGCTCTGATGTAGCAAATGCTATCCTTGATGGTGCTGATTGTGTGATGCTATCTGGAGAAACCGCCAAAGGCGACTATCCCGTGGAATGTGTCGAAACAATGGCCAGTATTTGCAAAGAAGCGGAAGCAGCTGTTTGGCAGAAGCAGTTGTTCAATGACATTGCAGGCCAGGTTAGTAACTCAACTCAACAATATTATACAGATTTGATCTCATGGAGCTCACAACTCAATTTAATACATTATAACAGAATAGAATAGAATAGATATTATTCATCATTAAAAATTGTATACATGTGTTACATACAGATAGAAAACTTCATCAGACTAGTCAGAACAGAACATAAAGCAAATGCGCTTATCTATAGTTACAATATCTATATACATGTTAGCAGTTATGAAGACATATCAAAAAGATGCAAGAACGGTGATCAGTAAAATCTATATATTTGTACAAGTAAAATAAAGTAATTATACAATAATACCTAGAGTTGTAGAAATTCTTCAGTAGAATAAAATACATTTTTTGTAAGGTAGTCAATCAAGTAAAACAGATTGGAATTCAGTGAAACTACATATGTTTCCAAATAGTTGAAGTGCTCTATTATAGCAGATGATACCCTGATAACTTGAGGATCCTTGACCAAGAGCCAGTCGAGAGTAGGGTAATTGCAGTTCATTGCCATTCCGAGTGTGGTGTTTATGTATCATGTTATTTTTAATGTAGCTTGATTCATTTTTCCTGATATTCATTGTTATGGTGAAGATATACAGTGAAGGCAGTGTTAAGAGTGCCAGTTCAGTAAAGGTATTTCTACTGTGACGTAGACCTGCCATATATCTTATTATCCTTTTTTGCACAGTGAATACTTTTGTCATATGGGCTGAATTTACCCAAAAGGCCAGCCCATGAGACATTGCAGACTGTATGAGTCCAAAATATGTCATTTTGACTATCTGCAAAGAAACAGTTCCCCATAACTATCTCATTACAAAACAAAACCTACTCATTTTTGAGGTAAGATTTTCTACATGTACTTCCCAAATCAGTTTTTGATCAATTATAAGTCCTAAGCATTTAATATGACTGACCTGCTGTATAGATTTATGATTGATTCTTATGAGGGAACTGTAATCATAGAAAGTATTTTTTTTGTTGGAAGAGCATGAAGACTGTTTTATATGTTTTAACTAGTAAACCATTATTTTTACATCAGTGTGAGAATTATTCTGCAGTTTTGTTTGCGACTTCTATCGAGAGCGGAAGGTTGTTTTTTTGCTACTATTTGGCTTGTATCATCTGAATATGTCATAGTTTTATTTGGTGACAAAGATGCAAGTACTATATCGCTCATGAGGATTATGAAAAATAGCGGGGCCAGTGTTGATCCTTGTGGGACCTCCAAATATATGCTTTATATAAAACTATCACATAAATTTCAATAATGGTGATAATCATCTCAAAATGACATTGCAGATGTCAAATAAAATCATGTCTACAAATACAGAATATGAAATCAATAGAGTTTACAAAATCGCGGCATGTGTTTCCAATATAATAGCAACTTCAGGCATCACAATTCTTGTGACATTGTGAAGCCCTAAGTTTCTATTATGAACTTTGAACTAAAATTTTCCGGAATTGTTTCATTTGGAGAAAATATTCTTGTGGCATAAACTTCCAAGACCATATTCATAGAATAATGTAATTGCAGTGTCTTAGATCCAACCTAAATTCTCAGTTTCACACAGACACCGCCGTCTGAACTTTTGAGGATTTTCCTTCCATGCTTGTACATCTTCAAAAATAAACAAAAGCAATGTAATAATTGTTTCCAGAAGATAATACAACTTTTCAATAAGTATTTTTCGTAAATGTTCATCTGTTTACAAAGTGTTACGTATTTAAAAACCATAAAACTCAAACATACTGTTATTGGATTTAAAATAATCCTACAATATTCGATACTGGAAGTAGTAAGCAATAAGGTACACAACTTTTTGTAAAATTTACCAAATAGTTTTATCTTGATCATGTTTACAATCTCAAACAATTTGATATAACTCGCTGTTTTTCACGTTGGATCTTGAATAAACCAATAATAACAAAACATATAATTTAAAATAACTTTTTTTTCTTGGGAAAAAGAATGCGTTTCACATGTATGAAAACCTGTATGTGAATAATACTTTTTTAACAATCTCTGATGTGCAACAACCAATATTTTGAATAAAACTTGAAGCTTCAAATGTTCCCATCTGCCATAGGATGGGAAGTGGATCTATGAGAATATTAAGAGAAATGAACACTGTCTTTTGAGAGGAAACCCAAGCAAAATAAAGCTGTGTAAAATGAATCTTCATTGAATAAGAAACGGAGACCTTATTAGCTACAGGAAATGTAACAGAGACAGCTTGTCACATTTATGTAAATGGATCACAGTAGGCATACAATTTATAGATAATCCAGAAGAATATGACAAAACATCCAACAAGGACTTGTTCAAAATAGTAGATGAAACCAGATTGTTGCAATGGGTGTCATGAAAAATATGTAAAAAAGGCCCATGAGGCTGAAAATTTTTCCAGAGGCTTGGAAGAAATAGACAAATCAGATGGCTATCCAATAGTAGAAAAAAAATTGAAATGGATAATAATGGATGATATTGAAAATCCCAAGAATTGGCCAGGGTCGTATTCAAAACCAACATCTTGTTGATCGCAAATGCTATATCATACTTAGGAAAACTTTTTTATGTATTTTCGGAACAAGAATTTACATTAGCTTTCATTTTTCAGTCCATAAAGTTTCTGTAAGCGATTTCATAGTTTTCTCTTGATGTGCTTGGTAGCAAATTATTGCAAACATCTATTGCTTTCTGAACAATTTCTGGAGGTGTATTTTTCAACTCTAAATCTTCGTATTCCATTATATTCAATATTTAATAAATCTAAACTGTTTATACTATAACAATCAACAATAAAACTATTTTCATTGGGTAAGTTGACAGCAATAATTACGCAGTGCTTCGGTTTTGTTGGTATGGAAATGCCGACAATGGGCTACTTGGATATTGCACGCAAATCGTCGGCGTAGCGTTGTCAACATGGAGAACGTGTCATATCAATCTGACATGTAACAATTAATGACTGACTTGGGTTATCGTGATAACAGTGAGAAATTATTTCTCACTGACAGACAGCATAACTAGATAATTTGTTTCTATTATTTTTCATACTCTCTTCATTTAACCTCAGAAAAAAAGTCAGTGACCTTATCTTTAATTATAAGATTTCAAGCAAAAGTGTAGCAGCGAAGTTCGTTTCAGAATTGCTGAATTTTGACCAAAAAACCGCCACATGAGTATCGCTTAAGTATTGTTGAATGATATCAACGGCGATCCAGATTTGCTTGAAAGGGTCATAACTGGTGACGAATCACGGATATATATGAATGACATCTTTTATGAGTATTTACCTGTTTGTATCGCAAATTTTTAATTTTGAATTTTGATATTGAAAGCAAAGTCCAATCGTCCCTATGGAAGAGCCCAGGAGAACCAAGACCAAAAAAACACGCCAAGTTCGATCAAATGTCATAGTTTTGCTCACTGTTTTCTTTGATTACTGTGGAGTAGTGCATCAGTTCTTGCCACATGGCCGTACAGTCGATAAGAAATATTATTTTGAAGTTATACGCCGCTTACAAGAAGCAATACGAAGGAAACGTCCGGTATTGTAGAAACACCATTCATGGCATTTGCATCACGGAAATGCCCACTCGTCATTGCTTGTTCGTAATTTTTTTTTGCCAAAAACAACACCGTGATCTTGCCTTAACTATCGTATTCATCAGATTTGGACCCCTGCGACTTTTTCCTGTTCCCAAGATAGAAGAGGATGGCGTATTGCTACAAGTGAGGAAATGAAAACCAAATTGCTGAGAGAAGTCAAGGACATATCAAAAAGTGCATATCAGAACTAGGTTTGAGGATTGGAAAAAAACGCTGGCACAAGTGTATTATATCTGAGGGGGACTACTTTGAAGGGGATAAACTAGAGATTGATGAATAAATAAATATTTTATGCGAAAAATTAAAATTCACCTTGTTTTTAACTCCCAACGGAATATTTGATCTACTAGACAGATGTGTGCCCATCTTTACAATAAGAGATCGATTTTGCAAGTAAGATTCTATCCAATCCAACATGCTTCCTCTGATTCCTAGGTAATAAAGTTTATCCTTGACAATTATTAAATCAATACTGTCGAAGGCTTTGGACAGATCGAACATAACTGAGACGACATATTTATTCTGGTCAAGTTCTGAATACACAAAATTTAGGAGTTGATTTGTAGCTGTTTCCACATATTTATTTTTTCTAAAGCCATGCTGAGAAGAAGTAATTATCTGATACTTCTCCAAAAAATCTATTAATATGTTATAAGCAGCTCTTTCCAAATTTTTGAGAATATGGGCAGTAAGGAAATTTGTCTGTAATTATCTATCATAAGGGGGTCACCTTTTTTGAACAATGAAAATACAACAGCACTTTTTGTTACAGTTGAACATTTTCCAAACTGTAATGATAACTTAATCAAGTGCGTAAGTGGAGATGAAACAGATTCACAAATAGTTTTGAAAACCTTCGGAGGAATTTTGATTAACAAGAGATTGTTCGCAACCAAATCATAAACATCTGTCATGATTGACGAGCAAGTTTTCGAGTCTTTTTTACTCATAAGATAAATTTAACATGAGTTTTTGTTTTTGTGAACATAGCATCAATCACTGATTACTCGAATGGACGTACCTAGCAGTGTACGTAGTGAATTTTATCCTTCACTTGAGAACGTCAATGAAAACAAGTACCCAATATATTGTCGAAAAATAGTATATTGTACTACAAGTGACAAAAACGACATATTTCTCACGAGCGCAGAACTTTGTTGGCACGTGCCGAAGGCGAGTGCCGCAAATCAAACGAGTGACAAATATGTCATTTTCTCACGCATTGTACACTGTACTTTTTCTACGGTTGCGTTGTTTTCAAGTATTGAAAATTAAAATACATATATAATAATACTTGTATGTCATTAACTCATTTTTATATTTTATTTAAAATAGTAATTACCAGTTATATTTGAACAATTTTGTAAAGTAATTCCTGGT